CACCACGGCGGGCGCAACAATCGAAATCGGGCCGGTTGGGCTCCATAGATTGCGCTGAGTGGTGTCAGCACCCGCTCGGGCGACCTTGCCCGGTTCACCTTCAAGGGCCTGGACGGCACGATGACGGACCTGTTCATTCATTTGGTGGCCTACCAGCTGGTGACGCTCTCCGGCACGGGCGTCTCTGTGCTTGACTAAGGCCCGGTGTCACGCTGCGCCATTTTTGGCGTTTAGTGGCACCGCTTTTGAGTGCGCCCAAAAAACGAGAAAAGAGGCCCGGTGTCCCTCTTCTTCATTTTTGAAGTTTAGTGACACCGCTTTTGAGTGCGCCCAAAAAACGAGAAAAAAGGCGGGGGGTGCCCCTCTGCTTCATTTTTGACGCAGAGTGGCACCGCCCAAAAAAACATGCAAAACATGGAAAAAATGGGCATTTTCCATTGGAGGAAGCCTAGTCCGGAATGCTCAGCCGCTCCGCAAGCTCCTCCGTGGCCGCGCGCGCAATCTCCTCGCACAGTGCAGCAGGAACGCTGTAGAGCAGCTCGCGTGATTGGCTGACCCTCTCGTACTGCCCCTCCATCAGCCGCGGCCCCCGCTGCGCGGCCCGGAGGTGCCTGCCGTCCTGCCACGCCTCCCGGGCCTGCACAGGCTTCGCCTCGGCCTCCAGCGCATGTTGGTCCACAGCCGCGTCTGCTTCCTGTACGGAGTTCCGTACTTGCAGTAGGTCACGTCCACCCAGGGCAGGCGCTCCATGAACGGCCGGGTCTTCAGCAGCCCGGTGGCCGGGTTCTCTATGACCCACATCAAGGGGTCAAAGGGCGCAATGATCTCAAGGGCGCTGAGCACCAGCGCGTCGCCCTCCAGGAGCCGCCGCGGGCGCGTCGTCAGCGCGCGGCTGTATTCCGTGCAAACCGGGCTGGCCCAAACCATGTCGAAGTGCCCCGGAAACGTAGTGTAGTCCCAGCTCCGGATGTCGCACAGGATTGTGGGCTCAAATTTCGACACGATGTCCAGGGAGACGACCTCCCAGCCCGCCGCCCCGAAGGCCCTGCCCACCGACTTGGTGCCGCAGAAAAGCTCCAGGAGTCTCGGCATTTTTAAAGAGCAAGATCACCGCCACTGCGACGATGAAGAAAACTCGCGCGTTCATCGGACCGGACTTTTTTCCTACGGATAAAAAAACGAGCCGAACTTCGCAATGAAGCTTGCGCTCGGGCTGGACGTTCAGACCAATGCCAAGGGGGGAAAGTTCATGTCCATAGAGGACTCCCATCAGGGCGCGCTGGTGTGCAAGGTGGACGTGGAGGTGCTGTGGGAGCCCGGCAACTTCCAGGACGACGGGGCCAAGAGGGTGGGCGTGTGCTTTGCGAGCAACACCGACCTGGAGCTGTGGACGGAGGAGGTGGAGCAGGGCGTCATCGGCAACATCTTCCAGAAGCCCTTTCCGGGGGCCGCCCGCACCGAGCTTGAGAGCCAGCTGCAGCGCGCCGTCAAGGTGAGCGCCAAGGGCAAGCACGTGAAGCGCAAGATGGACTTGGAGCGCTGCCTCTTCTGGGAACTGCGCGCTGCGCCCCGTGGAGTTCGCGCGCCGCAGGGGCCGCGCGCTTGTGGAGGCCCGGCGCGTGTGGCTGATGGCCAGGCAGTGGGGCGTGCTCTTTGAGGTGCGCCACCTCATGCTGGAGCCCCTGGAGGCGCCGTGCTGCCCGTTCTAGGCCGCCTCCAGCAGCTCAGAGCTCGTGGCCCGTGAGGCGCCCACGTACAGGTGGCGCAGCGTGAGGTGGCAGGACTCCAGGTCCAGGCGGACGCGGTTGTGGAGGGTGAGCCCCTGGCAGCTGGCGTAGGTCACTGCGTGGCTCGGCCGGGTGGCCCGCAGCAGCTCCTGGTTCTTCAGCCGCATGCCGTTGTCCAGCCTCACTCCGTCCGGCTCCACATCCGCCACGGCCACAAAGACGCCCTTGGGTATCTTCCCGCCGGCCCCAATGAGGCGCAGCCCCGGCCACACCCTCATGCTCTGCGGGCTGTTTTGTGTTGCAGTACACCCAGGTGTTCCCGCTTCGTAACACCCCATGTGGATGACCTGCGTCTCCAGCTCTAGGCGCTTTGAGGCCTCCGGCGCCAGGGCCCGGTTCGCCGCTGCGTTCACGGCCATGCGCTTGCTGTGGCTGATGACCAGCGTGGTGTCCGGCCACCCGGGCTTGGAGGGGTAGAGCTCCTTCAGCCTCGCCTTGGCCTGCTCCAGCGTGGGGCACGCCTCCTCGCCGACCGCAGCCACTTCGCGAAGTTGAAGATGCCGGGGTCGGAGCGCATGTTCTCCGTGAGCTGTGCCTGTGCCCGCCGGCCAGGTCGCGGATCAGCTGGCTGTGCTCCAACGGCGCGCTGATGGGCCGCCCGGCCCAGGAGTCCAGCACGGCCGGCAACTGCCGGAAGTCTCCCAGCAGCAGGAACTTCACGTCGGCGTTCAGCCCCACGCAGGCCAGGTCCGCCAGAGCGCCATGTCCAGCTGCGTGATCTCCTCCACCACCAGCCAGTCCAGCTTTTGCGCTGCCCCCGCGTCGGCCGTCTGCGCCCCCAGGCCCAGGTTCTGCGCGGAGCAGTGCGTCTTGGACACCAGGTGCACCGCCTCGCCCTGCTCTCGCAGCCTCGCCACAATGGTCCGGGCCAGGTGAGCAGCAGGGAGTTGCCCGCCAGGCAGTGGCTTATAGGGTCGTCCACCCCGTTCCACCTCCGTTGTTTGGGGCGCTCCGTGCGCGGCGCCCGGCTGCTGCCCAGCAACGGCCTCGTCTCTTCTACGCGGTAGACCGGCGTGCCGTCCGGGTGGCGCAGCGCCTCCAGCGCCCGCAGCCGCTCCGTGAAGCGCTTCGGCAGCCGCTGTGCGGCGCCAGGACGCTTTGGCCTATCTGCGCGCTCTGCCCTGCCCGGCAGACCTGCATCTACGCCGACCCCTCCCTACATCTTCCGGCCGCACCATGAATTACTACGGCGCAAAGGGACGGGGGCACGACCTGGCCTTCCGATCGGAGCTCCAAGACGCGCTCTTCGCGAGCGGCCTGCCCGTCGTCGTGAGGCCCGAGAGCTCTACTGCAGGGCCGACTTGGGCAAGAACTGTTTCAAGCCCGAGCTGCTGGTGCTGGCCGGGCAGCCCGCATTAGGCCCGCATTAGGCCGCACTAGGCCCGCGTAAGGCCCGCGTTGGGCACGGTGGCTTGGTGCTGGCCCGGTGATGGTGATGGCCCGGTCATGGCCCGGTGATGGGCTAAAAAGCACGGTCGGCCTGACTCCTCACCGAGCGACTGAAAAAGAGCGTGGCCTGGCCCGGTGATGGCCCGGTGATGGCCCGGTGATGGCAGAGAGAGAGAGAGAGAGAGAGAGAGAGAGAGAGAGAGGGAGAGAGAGAGAGAGAGAGAGAGAGAGAGAGGGAGAGAGAGAGAGAGAGACAGAGACATAAACGGATCTGATACGTAAGACAGGTAAATAGCAAGAGAGATGCAATGAAATAGATGGAAAGGTAGGTCAGAGAGGTAAAAAAGAAAGATAAGTAACTAGATCGATAGGTAAACAGATGGACAGACGTATATTGAAAGATGTACAGATTAACAGGCAGGTAGACAGATACAGAAAGAAAAGAAAAAAAGAAGGAAAGAAAGAACGAGAGAAACACAACGAGAGAAAGAAAGCAAGAAAGCAAGAAAGCAAGATTGCAAGAATGCAAGACAAGAAAGCAAAAAGGAAAAACAGAAAGAATGAAAGAAAGAAAGAAAGAAAGAAAGAAATAAAGAAAGACAGAAATGCCGAAAGAAAGAAAGGAAGGAGGGATCGAAAGAACCATGAGAAAAGAAATGACAAGAAAAGGAAAACAAGAAAGGAAAATACACGAAAGGACAAATGAAATGAATGAATGAATGCATGAATGAATGAATGAGAAGAAAGAAAGAAAGAAAGAAAGAAAGAAAGAAAGAAAGAAAGAAAGAAAGAAAGAAAGAAGGAAGGAAGGAAGGAAGGAAGGAAGGAAGGAAGGAAGGAAGGAAAGAAAGAAAGAAAGAAAGAAGGAAAGAAGAAAAGAAAGAGCACATACATACATAAAGAAAGGAAACAAGGGAAGACTAAAGAAGGAAGGAAGGAAGACAGATAGGAAGAACCCACAAATGCGCGAACGTAGGAAGGAAGGAAGGAAGGAAGGAAGGAAGGACGGACGGACGGACGGACCGACGGACGGAAGGAAAGAAGGACGGACGGAAGGAAGGAAGGACAGACGGAAGGAAGGAAGGAAGGACGGCTGGACGGAAGGAAGGAAGGAAGGACGGACGGACGGAAGGAAGGAAGGAAGGAAGGACGGACGGACGGAAGGAAGGAAGGAAGGAAGGAAGGAAGGACGGACGGAAGGAAGGAAGGAAGGAAGGACAGACGGAAGGAAGGAAGGAAGGAAGGACGGATGGACGGAAGGAAGGAAGGAAGGACGGACGGACGGAAGGAAGGAAGGAAGGAAGGACGGACGGACGGAAGGAAGGAAGGAAGGACGGAAGGAAGGAAGGAAGGAAGGAGAACAAGACCAAGAGAAACATATTCAAGAAGGGACAGCGAAGAACCATAGTTCCTATATCTTTGAAACATCCAACCATCGCATTCGGCTCTACTGGTATGAGGGCTTGGAAGGTTTGGAACATTGTTTGCGCTGGTCGTGCGCATCTTGTTTTGTTTGGAAATTGCAAAAGTAAACAACCATTCAATTGTTGGCAAGCCAGGGTCTTTCATTTTCAGGTTTCCGTTGTGCTCGGCATACCATTGTTTTGTCGGGTTTGTCTGCTTCGTGCTTGGCCACTTTCTGAGCCTTTGGGTTGTGAGCCGCAGCCTTGGTGCTTCAAACAAGCTCGTAAGGCGTGTTGAACAGCCAAATGGAAGGAGCTGGGGTGGGGCAGTTGTGTTAAATTTGTGTTTTGACGGCTCAGGTTGCAGTGTTGGTCGTCATGGTATTCATTGAATGCCCTGAGATACCAAACCTTTTGGTTTAAGGTAGCAAGTTGCAAAGCTCATCATGTGATTTGATGCAGGAGCCTACCCGGCAGAACCCATGATGTACACGCAGGGGGCTGCACCTTATTCTGCGCAACCTATGACCTACTCGGCAGGCTGGGTGCGGCAACGGTGAAATTCGACACCTTTCCTGCCCAGGGAAGGTCTTGGAAGTTCAACAGTTGCTTCTGTGGGCAGGTGGAATAATTTTTGATTTCTACAACTGGCAGGGCTTGAAAAACGGCCAAGGCTCGCTTGTTCGCGGAAAGACTCAACCGGGTTGTTTGTTTACCCGGTGCTTGTTTTTTTGTTTGTAGGCGGGACCGTCGGACTGGAACAGCCGGTTTTGCCAGGTCCTGTCACATATTCCGCGTCCCCCTATGCTCCGAGCTCGGCGATGCCGTTTGCTGGCTTCACGGCTTCGGAATTAGGCGCCGACTCTTTGGTTTGTTTTTGGAGTCTCCAGTGTGGCAACTTTGCGACGGAAACAAGGGGGCAAAGGTGTTTCCAATCAAGAGAGCTGTCCGCGCTTGTGTCGTTAATAGACCCATACTAATAGGGCGGTGTCACCCACAGTGACAAATCCCCACTAAAATGAGACACCCTGGTTTATTATTCCAGGGGTTAGTGTCAGACAAGTGCTGTTCTTCGGGGCATAAGGTGGATTCTTCAAGAGACCGCTGCCGCAGTTTGGGAAATCAAAGGATTTGGTATGCGACCCAGCCGATGTCTTGTAATCGCAGAACTGTGAGTTTTAGAGCTTGCTTCATCAGTCCGCTGCAGTTGGAAAAGTGAAACCCCCCAGTGTAGCACACGCACTACTGCCAGGGGAATGTCCGTTGCAGTCAATAGGCCCACTGGCGGCCGTATCCTGTGAAAACGAAACACGCCCTAAAGGCCGTCGCTATGCACGGGGGATCCTCTGGGATCTTTTTCTTTCGTGAGGTGCTCCGGGCTCTTTGGACCACGCCCAGGGCAAGTGGTTTGCTCCGGGAGAGGCTCTGCCCCCGGGCTTCGTGGTGACGGCGCACCCGGAGGGCCACACCGCGCCCGCCGAGACCCACGCCATGTCGGACAAGGTATGGGGCCTTCGGGAGGCTTAGGTTGGGGCCAGTAACTCGGTGACTCGGTAGGGATTCCTTTTTGGTGGTGTTCGATTGGAGTGCCTTCTAGCAGAAACACCATGAAACACCCGTTTGTTCTGGAGGTTGGAGTGGGAAATGCAGGCCGTCGCGTGCTTTCCAACAGGGGAACGGGGTCTTGGGATCTTTCGGGTAAATGTATTTTCGCAGAGTCAACATGCACACGAAACATATGTCACTCTCACATACATAGACACGAGCACGCATGCACGCACCCACCCACCCCCACCCCCACCCCCACTCCGACACCCACACCCAAACCCAAACCCACACCCACACCCGAACCCACACCCACACTTATACCCACACTCACACCTATCCATGTATGCGTCCGTGCGTCACGAACGCTCGCCGCCCCCCCGCCCCCCCTGCCTGCATGCACGAACGCACGCAGGCACTTACCCAGGCACTTACGCAAACACGCATTCTCGAATCCAATGTTGTCCTTTTGGACCCGCTTGGCAAGTGATAAGGGGTACTCGTATGGAACCTATTGGGGTATTTACTCCAAGTTGGGGACACCTGTGGGACCTCAAAGACCGAGCTAAGAAGGCAAGAAATGTATTTGAAGTGAGGCACCTGCCCAAAGTTTCTGGGAGGCGCGAGAGAGCTTCGTGGTCAGCTCTGGACTTCCCATGAAGACTGGCACCGCTTCCTCTTCGAAGGCCGACTCCGGCTATGGCTGGCAGCGGGTGGCGGGCTATTCGGCGGAAGCCGGCCGGTGGCGCTTGAGATCGCTCGAAATCTCGAAATCCGTCGCGAACTATTGGGGGATTGGGGGTCGAAGACATGGGCCCCAACCGTTCTTGAGTTGAACACGATGTCAGTGGAGGGCTCACGGTACGCACCACTCGTGGTTCCAGGAATTCTAGATGCCAAATCCGATATCATGGTGTCATGGGGTGAACATGGTTCACGTCATCGAGGAATCTTACAGTTTTTTCTGGAATACACCCAGTAGCCCAGGAGATGAATCATGCCCTCGGTTCATCTTATTGGACGCATGGCGTGGTTGGTGAATGGGCAGAACAAAGAAGCTTGCTTCAATTGTTATTTGAAAGTGGAGAAGTCAGTGCCAACTGTGCCAACTGTCGTAGACAGTGAGCCTTGTTTTGGTCCCGAGCCCAATTCCCGAGAAACATAACGGTTCCAATGTGTTTTCTTGCGGCTTTTTCAAGATTCCGGTTCAGGGTAATGCAACGAGCGGGTTGCCATTCAGTGGGCAGGTCCGCGCTCCGAGCGGGTAGAATCGCACTCAAGGTTCATGAGGTCAGGTGGCTAGAACCATGACGTCCTGCAATGCTCGGCGCTCAGACCAAGAAGAGCAAGAAGAAGAAGTCCAGCGGCTGCTGCTGAGCGAGGGCACATTTCGTCCATACAGATCTTCCTCAGGGGGCTATGCCGCTGGGGAAGGTATGAGATTTTGCTGTGATTCAGGGAGGCACACCATGTGCTGCCTTGAATCACTCGCCCTTTTGCCAAATGAACCTATCCTGATAATTAGCCCCCTTCCGGCTTTCCGGCTGAAAAGGCTCATGCCGTGGCGAACTGTTGGGCAGGCGAGCACCGCTTGCGCTGAAGGCTGTTGTGGCCGAGCTCTCAAGCTGGTGAAAACCATCAGCTGGATGGATCTTAGGATGTTCTGGAGCATAAGTCTACGCCCCACGTGCCACGTATTGAGAGGCGACTCGCCGTTGGCTGTAAATCTGCCAAGGCAGCCAAGGATTTTGTTTCGCTTGCCCATGTTGAGATTCCCTTTCCATCCAGCCCCTTACTGAGCCCTATGTGGTTTCACGAAGCAGCTGGCAGCTCTTTTCGGGGAAGCTCCCGCATGAAAGCTGGGGCATGGCTTCCGTGGCGCTGCCCCATGGCACTGCGAGGCACAGAAAGTCGAAATCGAACTTGTGTGGGTCCTGGTTCATTTTGTTTTTTCCCGAGAGTTGCACAATGAGTTTGAGCGCAAGCTCCTTTGAGCTACCGAGTGAAGCGCTGAGAGAGGTCGCGTGTCCAGGAGACAGGCAGTTTTTTTTGCAGGGTTGGCACAGGCTCGCCTGGAGTTCGGCGCCGAGCCTGGCCCTGGCCCAAAGCGAGGGAAGGAGTTGATTTGAGCTCAATGCCAAACCCATTGCAATCTGTGGGTTGAGGAAAAGGGCTGGGTTGATGCATTTTTCATAGGACTTGTTGCGAGAAGGAAGCCTGGAAGGCTTTTCTGGATTGAGCTTGTGGGTTGTCGGGTTGGCAGGACCTCAGCCTCGGCTCGTCGATCCTCCCGAGGCGCTCTTATCTAGTTCTCATGTGCGTCCCTTCCGTTCTGCCAATGGGGAGTGGACCTCAGTCTAAACTGTTCTGACCGATGCGTTTCGTTCCTCAACTATGGGGACAGGGCAACGCTTCTGAATACGAGTCCATAGCATGTGGTTTGATGCCAGAATATCCTGCAGATCAGTAGCCTCACAGATCAAAGCAGAGGTGTCCATCCTGGTACTTGTCAGAGACATGTTTCATCAGGGCGCCCGGGCAGCGCCATCGTTTGCGCGTTGCCGCTGGTCGGGGGGCCCAGGTCTTCGGACTTACGAGAGCGGCTGACCCTCAGGGAAAAAAGCCGACGGCCACAGGAGTTCTTCTTTTGCGAGAGAGGTGATTACACGAAAGCTTTGAGCCAGGGGCATGTTTTGAAATGGGTGTGCTGTCGCCGCTTGCGCGAGTGGGCACTGGTAGGTACTAGTTAGGGGTGCCATCTTGGACTGGTGATGTTGGTGCAGGGGACATGAGGAGTTTGTTGCCAGTGATTCTCCAGTTCTTGGCTGTTTGGGTCTGGTGCTCTGATCGCTGACTCGCTGAGGGGTTGGTTGGCAGAACCAAACAGAGCCGCCGGCCCAGGCGCTCGGATTCCGCGCAGGGACGCGGCCTGTGAGTGGCAGGCCGGGGGGAGGGTTGCATCTTTTGATCGCCAGAGAGTCGGTGAGGCTCAAAGTACACCGCAGGCAGCTGCCGCACCTGCCTGCTTCGATTTCAGAACTGGGTCCAGGGCTGCAAAGAGGACAGCACCTCAGAAATTGATGGACAGAATGCACCAAGGCGCCGAACATAGCCAAAGGGCAATTCCCTAATTGTTGTTGTTTTTTGATGCAGTTTGTTGAGAAAGGGGCTGCTTGTTCCCAGCAGTCTCTCCAGATCAAGCCAAATTGGGCCACCTTGGCTTGCGCAGGCGGCGCAGCCATCGCCGAGCACAAGGCAAGCACTAGGGAGTTGCAAGTTGGGGGCTGGAGGAGCCGGACCAGGATCCACAGTCACAGAACCCGGCACTGATATGGGTGTTTCTCGAAATTGGGGACTGCCGGTACCGGCAGGTAGATGGTTTCCTTTTGGCTTCCTTTACAAACCATCCAAAAAGGGGTCCCCCTCTTTTGTGAATTTCCCATACTCTGTGTGTCAGTGTAGTTAAGACGTGGGATCGGACGAACGATTTGGGCAGGCTGAGTTTCCACTGTCACAACCGTGACAAAACTTTGTCAGCGGGAAGGCTCCGATGACTATGACGTCATCGTCATAGGCGCGGACCTGTGAGGGGAAGAGGAATGAAGCGTTTCAGCCTTCCGTCATCTTGTAAGGATTGCACCCCGCGTGTTTTGCAGACGTTTGGGGAGTCATGTTGATGCTCCCAAGAGGGGCCGAGCAGATTGTTCCTGAGAAGCCATCAGTGTTGTGATGTGCTGCTGCCGAACTCCGGGATTGCGGATTTGACCAACAGGCTTTTGCTAGCTCAGGTTGCGAAAAATCAACTGGGAGCAAGTAGGCACAAGTGTGGGAAGTATCTGGTTCAAAACAAAATGTCAGAACATGCAACCACAGTCCTTGCTCGATTTGGCAGCTCCATGTATGAGCATGTTTGTTGCCCAAAGCCCCCGGACTTCTTGTTGATGGGAGACTGTCAAAGGAGTTGGGAGTGTGATCAAGTCCTTCGGCCGTTGATAGAGGATTCATGTGGCAAAGGTGTGTGCAAATGAACACCTCCATCAATCGTGAACCCCTCATTCAAGCACCCGCAAACACTGAAGGTGTCTGGCCCTGCAAGCAGGGTGGGTGAATGCCTTGAGCACAACTTTTATGAGGCTCATTTGGGATGGACAATGATCTCATACACTATTATCTGCCGATGGATGGGTCCCTGATAAGTTTATCAGTCAAAGATTGTAGCATCTCTCGTTCCGATATAATTAACAAACAACCTGATTCAATCAATGTGACTCCAGGTCTGGATTCATTGACTCAAAGTGTTCACTTCAGCGAAAGTTGATGTTCATTGTGTCCCACAAGGACTTTTATGAGTCAGCCTCATGTTGTTGTGATTCGGCGAGTGTGCACCATCTCATCTTATTACGGTAGCATGTACGTGTCCCATATTGCGGGAACCACTCTGTGGATAGTTCTCTTCAGGGAAGCCAAGCATTGTGGGACTCCGACAATCTTTGAGCCCCACCCCTATCCGCTGAATCCCAACAGAAACCGCTTCGATCCCCGCGCACCGCGTGCGTGGGTCATTCCCCGGCCGCATGGCAGGAGCTGGGCTTGGGGGCCTGGCGGCCGCCGCGAGCCTTGGGAAGGCCAGGGGGGGGGTAAGGCCAGGTGTTTGTTTTGTTTATTCTTCTTTTTTTCCCCTCCGTTATTTTTGGTGGTGTGAGTGTTATGAGAATCTGGGGCATTCGTAGAAGGATGGATTTTCATATTTTTGCTGCCCTTGAAAAGGAAAGACGGATTTGGAGACAAGACGGAAGCTTGGACATGTTCCTGGATTGGGGGGTGTTCTCTGGTTGAGGCAATCGAAGTGTTGCGGGAGACAGTGCGAGGCCGGGCGCAAAGTCCTAGTGGTGGAGGCCCACTCAGTTTGTGGCGGCTGCGCGGGGGCCCCGCCACGCAGCAGTGAAGTGAGTAGTGCTTTGGGGTTTCGGTTTGTACCAGATCGACGTTTTGTTAACGGGGCAGCTTGCTGCGGTCTGAAAACTGCAGGGCAGAAGCAGTCTTGCTTACATGAACAAATGCGTGCACACGTTCCTGCTAGAAGTGCATGCTAAATCGTCTGTCCTTTTATGCAGCGTTGTGACATATTGCCTTACACAGCATGCTTGATTTGTATCGGTGCTTAGCAGTTTCTTTTTGTCAGTTTTCATGCTCCAGAAGCAACGCGGTGCAAAAGCAGCACCGCCAGAAGCTGGGTTTTGGGCTGTTGGGACTTCCCCACAAGTTTGATCCTCGAACCTTGGCTTTTGAAGAGAATGGCAACATGTTCAGACCTCCAACATGAGTGAGTTCAAGAGACGTACTGTTGAACCCCGACGGCTGGGCCAAAGCGATCTCTTTCACCGAACGGGACACCAAAAGGAGGTCAACCAGTCTGGGGGAACACCATTTTGAGAGACCCGCATTTCGAGTCATCGTGCAAGGCACACTCCTTTACCCGCAAAGCGCCCGGGGGAGGCTCCGTGAGCGGGCCCAAATGGGCGGAAGACGCCGACTGCTGCTTTTTTGTGGGATTGAGCCAAACAAGCCCATACCTTCTTGAGAGAATTGATTATGTGACAGTGGCATCTATTTTTTGGCTGAACAAGCAATTGACCAGTGAAGGTCAGAGAAAAGGCGACCCCACTCGTGCTTTTGTTGTCATGGGCGCAAACTTGACAGCTGGGTCAAGGGGATCGTCACTCGGCTAGAAGTTGTCGCTGCTCTTGATTGCGCGGGATTGAAGAACTCTGTGACACTAGGGAGCACACAGCAGCAATAAGCTGGGACCGCATGATTTAGAAGAAGGGTTCCTTAGCAGGTTCCCTCGCCGCTCCATTGATTACGGAACTCAAAGCCACGCACGCCATTTGCTTAGTGCAAGTCATACATCAGAGGGACCAAAGTTTATGCTTCTTGATGGCTTCTGCAAAGCCGCGCGGATCACCCGCGGATCAAATTTCCAACTCCGTTTTATGTGGCAGGAGTGGGACTGTCAATTGTCACCCTCGCGTTTTTTTTTTTTTTTTTTTGAGAGTGAAAGTTCGACCGCGAATGACCCAGCAACAACTTGCAGGATTCTAGAGGGAAAGGGTTGTGCTTCCTGAGAAGGCCCAACAGGCACAACTATTGTCCTGGTAGTGTAGCATCTGAACTCTTGAAACAATATGAGATACTTCAGATGTCTTTTAGATCATCCAATTCCTGGTTTTGACCGCTGGAAACCACGAAACGGAAGGCTTCCCAGCGTGAGATGGGTCAATGGGTGCGCAAGAGACGAATAAAACCAAGTCCAACTCGTCGGGGCGGGTGACGGGTCCTTGGGGGGTTTGGCGACATCACCCGAGGGTGATCGTTGTCGCCAAGAGAGTGTCCTTTGGCGAGCTCTGAATTTCTGCGAATGCCAACGTGGCATGAGGATCCTTTTGCACAAGACATTGGAGAGAGAGAGAGAGAGAGAGAGAGAGAGAGAGAGGAGAGGAGAGAGAAAAACACATATTTTGCGTAGTGATGGCTCAAGATCCGTCGC